CATCGACGTCAAGGGCGGCCTGCAGCACTGCCTGCTGCTGACGTCCAAGGGACGTGTCTTCTCCGCCGCCGCCAGCACCTCCGAGTTCCCGTCCAACGGACAGATGGGCATCCCCGGCCTCAGCTGGACATCCCGCCCCGCGGGTCCCTACGACCAGCCGCATGAAATCACCGGTTTGTCCGGGTTCAAGATCGCCAAGATCGCAGCAGGCGACCTCCACTCCGCGGCCCTGGACAAGGACGGCAAGCTCTTCACCTTTGGCGACAACACCTACGGCCAGCTCGGACTGCCCGCAGAGGCCATCTACCAGAGGATTGACGTGCCCTCCCTCCTGCCCACCGCCAAGCTCTACGCCAACAGCGGCCTGATCCCCAAGATCACCTCCGTTGCCGCCGGCGGCATGAACACCTTCTTCACCGTCGACGCCGCCGAGGCGGGAGGCATCCTGACCGCCGCCACCACCGACGACCTCGCCCCCGCGCGCCGCATGCCCCGCATCGCAGCCGACCTCTGGGCCTGCGGCCAGGGCGTGTACGGCTCCCTCGGCACGGGCAAGTGGACGCACGTCACGCCCGGCCCGGCCAAGGTCAAGGCGCTCTCCTCGCTCTTCGAGTTCGACGAGCAGGCCAATCGCATGTGCCCGATCCGGCTGCACGACATCTCGGTCGGCAGCACGCACGTGTCGGCGACGATGGACAACGTGACGCGCGTGGGCGCCGGGGCGCGCGGCTCCGAGAACGACACCAACTGGGGCGCCGACGTGCTCTTCTGGGGCGGCAACGAGCACTACCAGCTCGGCACGGGCAAGCGCAACAACCTCAACGCGCCGGGCTACATCGGCGCGCTGGACGGCGGCGCGGGTGACGCGCTCATGGGCCGCGGCGGCGAGACGCACCGGTTCCAGCTGACGCCCCGGCAGACGGTCCGGCTGGGCGAGGACGGCAAGGGCAGGAAGGTGAGCTTGGAGCAGCGGGTGGAGTGTGGGCGGTTCGTGACGGCTGTGTACTCGGGCGTGTAAGTGGCCTTTGTGCTTTTCTGCGACGGCAACGTCAACGCGGACCAAGTGTTACACGTTTCACCATTTAGGGGGGACGTCACTGCGATATTGGGAGGAAGAACTGTGCTACTAAAGGAGCTGTAGGAGAAAACTGAAAGGATATAACCATGTAATTTTACACGCAGACCAAGAACATGACCGCTATAAGGCCTGAGGTCGACGAGCTATGGGGGGAGGGCGTTTCTGGCAGGGATACTCGACGCGGATGTAAAGCAGGCTGGACGTCGTCGATAAGTCGGAGATATTATCAAAGGGGATGATCAGCCTCAACAGGCCTGCCCCTTTATTTTTGCTTGGCCAAATTTCAACTCACCTTCTTTTTGCTTACTCGTTCAAGAGTCTTGGTGTATCCTTGTTTGTGGGATGGTGGTGGGGGGCCTCTGTAGATCGTCCGCGAGATGCTGCAGAACGTGAATCATCTGAAGTCTGGTCTGTGCTTGGCGTTGTTTTCGAAGGAAAAGGGGTGGTGTGCGGTCAAAGTCGCTTCGTTCCGAAAAGGCTTGCTCGGCGAAAGTCTGGGTAAAAACAGGGCTGTGTGATGGTATCAGTAGCAACGTAGGCAACTTGTGACGACGGCAGAGAGTCGCAAGCATTACGTGATGTATGTTGCATGGAACCAACGCATCTCGAGTCGTACGCCTAACGCAACGACTTGCCCAAGACGACGATGACACTGTAGCGAATGGCGTGGCTTCCGGGCTTGGCGGGCCGGCTTGGTAGTAACAGACCTTAGTTTGGATGCCTTCTGCAGCCGATAGAGTTATTCCAGAAGCTTGTCATCCGGAACGGGGGCAGCGTTGGAGGGGAGGGGGAAATTAGTACCGAAGTGTAGTATCTCGGTCTCGTGTTGACGGATCGTGCCCGTGTGGTGTAGTTGCGAGAAAGTCGTCTCTGATGATGTGAGGCCAACACAGACGCATACACACACATGGAGCACCGACGCCACGGACGATTCACCTTCCATAATGTTTGCTTTCCGCTCTTTCCAGTAAGTAGGTTTGCCAAGCCTTTCCCATTCCGCTCGTGTTGGGTAATCATCTACGGCAAGGTATCTAAACTTAGCACCCACACACGCATGCGCGGCGAATGGCCGAATGACTTGCAGACAAACAAACACGCACGCAATACTGCGGCGCTACGGGCGACATGATCTGCTCCATGGGAAATAAAACCGTCGGGGTGGAACAACAAGCCGAGAAGGGCTCTTGCGGTTTCTGCTTACTTTCGTCGGCAGAACACACTCGGCCGTGACAGGTCACAGGCGGCGGCGACGGCGGGCCCGTCCCGTCCGCCACCCATCTTGAAATAGGAGTGTGGCGCTCGCGCGATCGGCAAGTTTCGTCGAACCTGGCGGTTCCGCCAAACAGACGAACGAGATTGCGGACGAATGGGGGACTTTTGATATGCCCGTGGGGGAGAAGAGAGAGGGAACGATGGACATTGATTTTCCTCCACAGCCTCCTCGAAGAGGTAACCCACTCGGCATCACTGGACCGACCCTGTCCGACTGTCGCACTTGAGAGGAGAGACGTTGAATAGGATGTTTACTTAAACTTCTTTGACTTTCTTCCGCAAGAAAAGTCTGAAGACAGAATTCTTGTAGAGGGAAGATGCCGAGATACGAGCGGCCAGATCTCAATCTTCCAATCTTGGCTTGTGGTGAAGGTTGCTCGTCAGTTCAGCTGGAAGTTTTCCGAAAAGTTAGTGGAAACGGCCAATGAGACGGCGGGGATTATGCCGTGCGGGAGTGAAAAAGGGCGGGCAGCCCCCCGTTTCGGGATATGGTTGCCGCTGTACGGTGAGCTGCAGGGAGGTGGTTTAACTGAGGTGCCAACCTGCCTGCCCTGCCATGCCATGCCCTGCAGCAGCACCAACGCCAGCACCAGCAGCACAGCATCGGGGAGGAGTGAGTGAGGCATGGAAGCCCAATCAGTGGAAGTGGGCTTCCAGCTCCTCGGGACGCGGCGGCAAGGCGGAGGCTAGTGGGGCTACAACGCCCTGGGTCCCCCCTGGCGCCGTGTCGCCCAGAAGCAAAGATGCCCCCACCTCGCCATTAGCCCCCCTCCCCCAAAGCAGGTGCTACGGTGCTAACCCCCTAGAAACCCAGCAAAACCTCCGTGCACTGCCTTGAAGGCCCCTGTCAGCCGCTGCGGGCGGGAGGCAAAAAAGACACTGAACCTGGGCAGGGCAGGACAGAAGACAGGCAAACACTGCGAGCGAATGCTGCCCTCCACTGAGTTTGACGAGGTGCCCGGAAGCCGGGAAGAGAAAATAAAGCCCCCTGGCCAAAGTAAAGTCGCATTTGCAGATTGCAGGAACAGGGAAAAAAGGGACGGCTAGATTGTATCGAATTCCATCGGGTCCAGGCCGTCTTGCCCAATCGCCAAAGTCCGCCCCTCGGCCGGAAACAGAACGTGCAACGAAGCTGGATCCAGGGAACTTCCCAACCAACCTGCCTAACGTCTGGACTCTCGCTGCTGTCATCATCTCACGTCTGCTCCCCCTTAACTCCTACTACCTACTCCGATCATGTCTCGATAACACCCGCCCACACGTCCGGAAGCCTCATCTTGCGCCGCCCTCCTTTCTCTTTCCTCTGGTCTTCATCCTCTCCCTCGGTCTCTTCTTCCGTCAACCTCCTCCTCCTCCCACTGCTCAGCCAGGCTCCACGTTGCTCGCCCTGCCTGCCCACGTTCCCGTTCGTGGGGAAAAAGACGGGAAGCTTTTACCGAAAAGAGAGAGCTTGCGATACCCGCCTTTTTTTATTATTATAATCAAATTTCAACTCCGTATTGTCGTCCTAATCGTGGCAATTTCCGCTTCCGAAGCAAGGCCAACCAACCCTCTTCAAGCTGTCTTTTTTTCACAGCTTTCTTCTTTTGCGGCCTCCGCTCACACGCTCTCTCTCTTCTCTCTTGTCAGGGTTTCCTCGCTCTCTCTCTTTTCCCTCTCCATACCTCCTCCCTCCCTCCTTCTCTCTTTTCCGCAAGAAAACAAAATCAATACTTGTCTCCCTCTACTCTCCCCTAATATCAAACAACCTTTCCCCCGTCATCCCACCACCCGACTCCCTTCCTGGCCGACGGCACGTGCCTCCCGAGTGACACAAACCAAAAAAGAAACCCGACTCGTGACGCACGAACTAGGACGCAGCACGCCCTCGTCCACGCACCGCACGCCCACGCCCACGTTCACGCCCCCCGACTCTGCAGCGAGCACCACCGAGGGCCTATCCATGCGCGTCTCTCATCCCGATCGCCAGGAACGCAGCTAGTGCCCTGCCACTCGTCATCTGTCGAGTCCACCCTCTCGCGCGCGCCTGTCCTGTCGTTGGACTTGTGATTCACACACATCACACTGCCCGTCTGCCTGCCTCCTGGCCAACGGCGACACATATTTTTTCTCCTTTGATTCTTTCTCTCTGCCTCATCCCTACGGGGTGCAAACATCTTCTTCTCCCTTCCACCAGCAAGCACCCCTCGCCATCCCAAGGGAAGCCGACAAACCAACAAAACTCCGAGCCCGCCTTACGGTTAAGCTACGCCGCACCAGACGCCCGACTCGCTCTACCCCAACTTTGGCCCTCGCTGCACCTCTCCGTCTCGCCGGGCCGCCACGCTATATCCAAAAAAAGAAAGGAGCTTCCTGCAGGCCGCCGACTGCCACCACACTCACCACCACCACCACGGCGGCCCCCAAAAACTCTGACGACATTACGGCCTACTTAAGCGTCCCTTCACGCCGGGCGGTGCTTCGCACCATCTCGCCGACTTCTTTGACGCTCCTTCCGTCAGCTTCATCGCTTTCGCGGTCATCCTCCGACTTCCATCCGACGAGCCACCGAAACCCCACCGTCGTCGCAACAGCTTCACGCCTCTACAGCGCACCCCGCGCACCCACCGTGACATCCTCAGCCTTACCAACGCCACCCCGCGCGAACAAGATGGACCACCTCCCGAAATTCCGCAGGAAACCAAAGATCCCAACCATTTCCACCACCGACGTCAAGCCCCCGCTGTCCCGCAACGGCAGCGGCATCATCGAGCAGGAGCACCCCTCGCCCCAGCAAATCTACCCCTCCACGACCGTCACCGTCACCAGCAGCGGCCGCCAGTCCCCGAAGCCCGGCCTGCGCAAGTCTGCCTTCCGCGGCTTGCATCTGCGCAGCTCCGGCAAGCGCGTCCGCTCCCCGCCGCCCGCCGCCCTGCCCTCCTCGCCTCCGCCCGCCATCGTCTCCCACGACGGCGTTACCTCTTCGCCGGCATCCACGAAAAATAAGGAGGGCAGGGACGATGCCGCCGCCAGGGCATCGTCGGATAGGGAGAGCCGGGCGAGCTCGACCCCCAAGCCAAAGATCCCGGCCTTCCTGGATCTCTCCACCCCAGGTAGGAGCCCCTCGCGGAGCCCCTCTCGTTGGAAGCCCTCCAGAAAACGAGGACTAGGCGCTGACCATGACATGTCGCGGCTGCCCACAGACCTGGAGAATAAGTTTCAGGAGCTCGTCTGGCAGGAACGCAACCGCCTCGCCGCCGGCATGGCCCCCGACGCTAACGAGAACTCGAAATGGGGCTCCTTCAAGCAGACCGACCTGAGTCGCGGCGTCCAGGACCGCTACTTCAACATCAAGCCCTGGAACCACAACCGCATCAAGCTGCGCGTCCCCGAGGACGAGCTCGACTACGTCAACGCCTCCACCATCACCTTGACGTCTCCTTCGAACAAGGACCTCGAGCCGCTGCGCTACATCGCGATGCAGGGCCCGACGCAGGCATCCCTCGACTTCGTCTGGCGCATGGTCGCCGAGCAGCTCTCCTCCCCCGTCGTCATCGTCCAGCTCACGAGCATGTTCGAGAACAACCAGGCAAAGTGCTTCCCCTACCTGCCCATGGACGAGGAGGCCGACGGCGGCGGCTGGGTCCTCAACGAGACGGACGGCTGGAACGACGGCTGGACCGCGACGCTCTCCTTCGACTCCCTCGAAACGCTCGAGAACGGCGCCATCGAGGTGCGCAAGCTGCGGCTGCGCGTCGGCGACGAGGACGAGGACAGGATAGTCTGGCACATGCTCTACACCAAGTGGCCCGACTTCGGCGTCCCCGCCGTCGACGACCTTGGCAGCTTCTTCACCCTCATGCGCCTCTCGCGCGAGTACAACACCGCCGCGCCCGCCCCGGACACGCAGCCGCGCATCATCCACTGCAGCGCCGGCGTCGGGCGCACGGGCACCTTCATCACGCTGGAGCACCTGATGCGCGAGCTCGACGAGGGCGCGCTGCTGGACTACGACGCGGGGGCCGGCGGCGCGGGCGAAGATCTCATCTACGCGACCGTCGACGCGCTGCGCGAGCAGAGGCGGAGCATGGTGCAGGCCGAGGCGCAGTACCTGTTCCTGTACCAGGTGCTGCGGAAACTGTGGCAGGAAAAGTACGACGTGGAGGACAGCAGCGACGGCGACAGCGAGCCCGCGGCTAAGAGGCTCGAGGTCGACGAGCGGTCCTCCCTGTCGTCTATGGATTGACGCCCGGTTGAAGTCACGGCGAGGAGAACGAGGGGATCGGAAGACGACGACGACGAATAAACACCATAACTAATCATAAGAGCGGCGGCGGCATGGGAGATGCGAAACATACATCGCCCTCTCTTTTTTATTTAATCACATGAAAGCGACCAGCAGCAGCAGAAGAAAGCATCACCGGCGGCGTTTCTCACGGGGCGGGAAGTAGCATGAGCATGAACGGAACACACACCCGACAGGGCGTGTAAGAACACGATACCAAGACGCTGGACTCTTTTTTTGATACCCGCGTAACATGGCTATATTGGAAACAGGACAGAAACATTTGGAGGCGGCAGACAGATTTCTCGTGGGAGGATTGGATTGTTAGCCGCGCAGAGCGACGGCGCGCACCCAATATATATTTTCAGATACCCCCATCCCCGGTGTCCTTTTGACGAAAGTCAAAAATACTTCCTCCTCTTGCAAGTGACCCATATGCGGCATCGTGAAAGTGTTATACGAAGGCTCTCATTCATGACATGACTTGATCTTGTGGCCGTCCATATCTCATGGCAAACAAACCCTACAACGGAAAGCATAAGCAATACTGAGGTTCATGTGACAGTCCGCGGATTCCACGGGCGGGGGTCCAAGCCATAGGGCGGACTTTTGGGCTTTGGGCATTTTTTGGTGTTCGCTATTCTTTTTGGGCTGTGAAGCTCTCCCGCCCTAAATCCTCTCAGTCTCGGAGCGAGGTCCGAGGTCCGACACACACAGTCAGATGCACCCGACAGCTACGCGCGATTTACATCGTGTGATATAGAGGTAAAACGCCGAGAATTCACTCGAAAGATCGGTGTCCTCCAGGAATTAGTCACAGAGCGGACGCCAGGGCAGCAACAAAAAAGCAGAAAAGTTTGAGGCCCGCGGGACAAGCATATAAAAAGCCTCAACGCCTAATAAGCGCAACATTGCGGATCAGTCCGGCGCCAGCTGAAGGCTAAATGATTGCAGAATATGACGTATCGTTTATTCAGCACGTTAGGTTGCTTGTCAAGTCGTTGCAGAACGATTTTGGGACACGATGATTGGGCGGTTTCACATCGCGGGTCCAGATCTCAGAAGGGGAAGAAGAAAATTGGGCTCGAAGGTTTAGGGAAGCTGCCGAAAGGTGAGATGTGACGACGCACGCAACCCTGCGAGGGACGCGCACGTCCAAATCTCCCATGCCTCTCTCTCTCTCTTTCCAGGACGAGGAGGTCGATATATGGACAGTGCACAGAGTTGCGGTCAATCTATGCGCAGTCCTTTTGATGAACCGGCATTGCAGCATGGTTTGGGGCCGTTGGTCCGAGGTTGAACGTTCGACGTGCAATGTGACGAGCGTTCTGCGATACCGGACTCGGTCCGATTCAGCACGACACCTCAGCCGGTAACGTCCAGGGTCGGCATCCATCCTCGGGAGAGGGAGCATGTTGTCGACCTCACCGGGCCATCTCTCGGCGAAGGAGGCATGTCATTGTCACATGGGGGCAAGTACGCGCGAAACAGCAGTCGTCTTCTTGACCGGTCCCGGGGCCTCCCGCAACTCGGTGTGAGATTGCTGACCGGGGGTTTGTGGAGGTGTACACGTGTGGTAAGCCGGGGTTCGGGAGCGAGGGAGGGAGGTACGGGCCTGTCCCTCGATTTGCCCATCGAGTGAGACATCCGCGCTTTTCTGTCATCTGCGACTTGCGATATGAGAAAGATGAGTTCTCCGATCAAACTCCGGATTGCCTTGCATGTGTACCTAACGGCCATGTGACGGTGACGAGACGGCCAGGATGCAGGATGCGTCATTTGCTATGTTGCGAGGGGTTGCATCTGACAGATCGCCGGCGATGAGATCGTACAACCTCTCGCGGAAGCTCAAAGACGAGAAGACGTACGCATCTACTCGATCAACAGAGTCAGAGAAACGGTAAAGATGCGCGGAAGACCTGAAGATCCTTGAAGCTTGACGGATAAATCAAAGGCCACGAACAGCACACGGCCACTGCAGGAAAGGTCCCTGGTTCGATGGTGATTGCCCGGTGTGCCTTCCAGTCCAGTCTATGCCCCTGAAGGGTCCATCGGTAGAATGCGCCGAGGAGGGTCACCAACCGAGACCGAGACCGTCCGTCGTTCAAGCAATGGTCAAAATCCACATTTCTCCAACCCAGACTTCTGAAGCGAAGGTTATCAACTTGTGAAAATCTCTGGTTCGGTGTGATGGGCGAAAGGGGAAAAGATGAGATGACCGGGAGTCTGATGGAGGCAGTTCGGACCGGCGCGGCTAATTGGGGCCGGCTGGTCTTGGTATTCCCGGGCCCCGTTTTTGCCCATCGCTTTCGAGTCCGGCGATTAAGAAAGTGCCGTTTCCAAGTTGTCATCCTCGTGGCTTCGTGTGGAGTGGCATCCTAATGGCCGCTTTCCCCGGACTTTGACGTGCCCGAGAGGTCGACGGTTCCATTAGTAGCGCCGTTCTCGGAAAATGCGGTATGCTGTCGTTAGCCGTGCGACTTGTCGTTCAAAACTTCGCGGATTACTCTGTAACTCAAATGACGCTTGTGCAACCGGCAGACGTACGTGGTGTCTTCTCGAGAGCGCCTCGAGTGGTGTGCGAAGACTGCGAGGATTCGAACGCCTGCTGCAGTGACATCTTGTGCCGTCGTTACACGGCAGCAGAGCACGGAGCAAGTCGGGTTGCTGAAGCGAGGTGCAGCGCAACTCGGCACCACAGGCTGGGGAACGAGACGAGATGAACCGGCAAATGAGGGGTCCGTCGACAACCCCGGATTCAGCACGGCAGGGTGCGGCGCGTGGTTGTTTGGAGTTGGGGTTCCAACGCGCAGCGGAGGTTTCTTTCAGGCGCCCTCAATTCAGCCACCACGCGCGTTGTGTGATGACGGGCGGCCAGTCGACGAAGCTCTGCCGCTTCAGAGTTTCCCTCCGGCTGTTTAGGTTGGTGTGCCGGGCTTGATGATGTAGTGGATGCGACTCCCCAGGTGTAAGTTGACGTTGATTCGCATGCATCGAAATGGTGTAAGTGGTGTCCGACGTGTCTGTGCGTTTCTTTCCGCTACCCATCATGACTGGCAGCAAGCGGCCGGTTGGCTGATCGAAGCGTGGGCTTGACACATGGTAGAGGCGCATCGAGGGCTGCAGGGTTGCGGTGAAAGCCTAAGGGGGTCTTTTCATTTGGAGCACCCGCCGAGCTTGACCTTTCGCTCTCTGCATCCCGGAGCACGGACATTGCCATGCGAAGTGGCGCCTTGTGCTGCTGGGATTGAACTGCTGTGGCACTTGTTTGTTCGAGTGCAAATGCGGGTGTACCTGGATATTATTGCGTTTGGTCAACACCAAACTTGCGGGGAGCCAAACGGGCGCGGAAGGCCTTTGCTTCCTCTTGGGCGGTGTTGCAATCCCGAGTGCGCGGTGTACGATGCAGCGAGTCCTGGTAAATGACGATGCCTGTCAAAAGTCTCTTTTGTGGCTTTTCCTGACGTCCGGATCCCAGATGACGCCCTCCCCGAGCGACGGTTCATTGAGCTTGAGCTCAGTCGGGACAAGCGCATCTCTCGTGTCGCATGGGTTGAGTCAGTTCTTACAACGACCGCCAGAAAGCAAGGCGGTTTCCCCAGATAATAGTAGCGACCTCCAAGGTCGGCGCAAGCTTTTGGGTGCGGCATGACAGCGCAAACCTGGTGTGCCTGCTTGTGTGTGTGGATGCGCTGAGAAATGGTGTGGGTGAGAGATGAGTTGGCCCAACGGGCGGCAGTTGAGAAGAGAAGCGAGGCTGGATTGGGATAGGAGGAGAGCGAGGCTCCATCCGGCAGGGTTGCTGGCGGGCTTCAGACGGGAAGAGACCGCAAGTCCGGGAGGATGGATGGGTTGGAGCCTTGAGGTGTCTCGGACTGCTGGCGTTGATGTCGAGTCTGGCGGTGAGACGACATAGGGAGAGAAAGTGAGGCCTTCCTTCATTGCAGGTATGGGGTCAAGCACTGTACTTGGGATGAGGTTGGGTTGGAGGTCGTTGTCATAGCTGCGGAAATTTGATTTGCGGAGTGCGCAAAGCATGAAGGGGAGATAAGCCATCGAGATGTGACTTGTCCGGCAGCGAAGGGAGTTTGATCCGGGGAAAGGCAATTCCAAGGAACTGACAGCTGCGCACGGCGCTGGTAGGTCTGGGCGCAGCCTCATGACGCCGACCGCCTCCGTTGCGGAGTGGTCGGTGTGCGCTGTTAAGCACCATTATCGCATGGGTGTAATTTGAGGCTCGAATCTGGCGGAGATAAGTGGAAAACTTGCAGCAGGAAGTGGTCAGAGGTCGGTGCGAGATGCGAGGTGTGTAGAAGACAGGCTGAGGCGATGATGAGAATGACGATGATGTTGTGTGCAGTGGTTGGGAGGCAGGCAGGTAGACCCGCCCGGAGTATTAGTCGGTTCCTTGGACGGAGGGATACTGGAAGCGAAGGAAGCTGGTCCCAGTTGAACACGTCCCGTCGCGGGCAATTTCAACAGCACCATTTGTCTTTTGCCTGTTTCGTTACTCTCGGTGTCGATGCCATGCCGAAGGCGACGATGTTTCTGTCGCTCCGTAGGTAGGCATCCCGAGCTCGGGTCCAGGTTGGTCCATGTGACGTGGTCTCAGTCAACCAGCAATCCGGGCTGCCGAGCAACATAATCACATGCTCTGGGTGTCATCTGGTGGTTTGAGGTAGGATGACGAGGCAGAAAAAAAGGACAGAGGCAGAGAAAGCGAAGGGATTGAGTTTGAGGCAGGCACTGGCCCCCGTTGGAGGCTCTCGTCCCTCTTTCGTCTGGTGTTTTGATACGTAAGATCTCACGTCCTTTTGCTGCCGGCGAGTCAAGAAAGGTGCGCTAACACGTATTACCGCCGGTACTGTTTCCGATGTTGCAGCAAGGCGAAGCAGGGCTGTCGCTGTCTCGGACTAAGTTTGCAAGTTCAGGGTCTCTACATTAGACAACGGGAGGAAATG